CGCCAGGCGCAGAGCCAGCGCCGTCACGATGGCTGCCCCGCGCCCAGTCCCATCCACTGAGGGCAGGAGGGTGATCGTGCACTCCGGGGCCAGCAGCCCTGCCACACTCTGCAGGATCTCCCCAAACCTGCCAGAGGAAGAGGAGGATGGCAAAGGCTGGGCGTGAAACATCCCACTGGGGTGGGAGCCCCATGTCCCTCCTCACCTGGTGTGGTCTCGGTACAACTCGCCATCCACTCCAACGTTGACAGAGAGCTGCTCCAGCTCCCGGCTCTGGCACATGTGTGTAAGGATGGCAGCCAGCCCCGCAGCACAGAGTGCAGCGGCACGGCTCACCACCACCCGGCAGACCTGCTGCACCCGGCAGCAATCCCGCTCGCTCGGCCTCAGTCCCAGAGTCTCCAGAGTGCTCCTCGTCTTGGCCATGCCATCCTCCTGGCTGCAAGGGAGGACACAGTGCTAGTTATGTCCTCCCCATCACCCCCCTGTCCTCCCAGACACAGCAGCTCCTGATCCCCAGACACTCACTTGATGATCTCCAGGACCTGATGGGTCTTGAGCACATCCTTGTTCCTCAGGATGCCAGCATTGCTTCCAGTGAAGACCGCTTTCTCAGCAGCCAGGGCAACCAGCACGTGCCGGACGATCTCCCCCAGATACAGGCTGCCCACCAGCTTCTCAAATCTGCGTGCAGCCAGCATGGGGGTCAGTTGTGCCCCCTCGGCACCTCTTAGCCCCTTGAGGGCGTCCAGGAGCATTGCGAGGGGCCATGTGCTCCTGTTGGTGGGCTCTGATATGCTCTGGGATGGACAAGGAGCCCTGGGGACCCAGCCCTCACTGGGGTGTGGGAGCACCTCTTCTTCCCAGGATTGGAGGACTCCTTGTCCACGTGCTGGTCGTAGGTTGTCAGGATGCCACTCAGGGTGGTATCGTCCCCGAAGCAGCCCCACTCAGTGTTGACACACATCCTCCCGCTGGTCTCCTCCACCATCTCGACCTGTTGTGCCTCAGCCATGAAGCAGCTGTTGGTGCCTGCATCTAGCGGGGAGCAATGGGGGTGAGCACTGGTGCAGCCCGAACCATCTGCTGGCATGGGAGGTGCCCACTGCTCACCTACAATGATGGCAACCTCACAGGCCTTATCCTCCGCGCTGGAGGTCATCATGGTGCCTACAGTATCATTCATCAGGGCAACAACATCCACATAGAGCTGGCCAGGAGCAAAGCAAGAGCATCATTAGCCCCTCCATGGGGGCAATGCACAGCCAGGCCCCCTCACCTCATGGCCCCTCACCTCTTCCTTGTTGATGGCTGACTGCAGCAACTGCACAACATCCTTCCCCTCCACACCAGTGCACTTGAAGCCCTTGGACCAGGAGGTGAGTTCTGCCTGTGGAGAGCACATGGCTTAGCTGTTGGCCTCCAGCATCACTGATGTGCTGGGCAGAAGGTGGCCACAGCCCCAGGTCAGGTTTGTCCCACCCACCTTGTCCAGCTGTGTCTGCTTGCAGCTGAAGGGGAAGACGAAGCCCAAGGGGAAGCGGTGCTGGGGGCTGCTGAAGCCAGCCAGGAACTGGCGCAAGCATTTTGCAATGAAGCTGAAGAGCTGCAAAGGCATGGCCAGGGGTGACAGGCTGCACCCTGTACCCAGCACCCAGGCTGTGGAAGGCGGCCCGGAGTTTTGCCGAGCCGCCGTGGTGCTGGGCAGCCCAGCATCAGCCACCCTGTGCCATGGCCTCCTCATACCGCTTCCCCCTTTCCCTGCATGATGTTCACTGGCATGTCAAAGATCTTGTACATCACTTGAGGTCTCTGGTTCCCGTCACCCAAGAGGGTTACACACAGGGTCCGGACATAGTTCTGGCACAGCTCCACCACCAACATGTCACCCTTCTCTATGGAGGAGCAGAGGTGGTGTCAGGCAGAGACCTTTGCTGGAACAGATCTCCTATAATCTGCCCCTTAACCTGTCCCAGGGACAGCCACTCACCCTTGGGGGAGGCTCCTGAGAGCCTGAGATCACCACAGGGGCCAAGGGAACCAGCTCCTGGCCTCTGGTCGTGCACCGGCGACTGGCAGAGGCAGTGCAAGGGCAGTGCATGGACCAGAGACCAGTGCACCCCTCCCCAGCACCCCAGAGCCAAGCCCCATGAGGCGTGTGGGGCTGTAGGTAGCAAATCGGCCCATTCCCAGGCCGAGCTGCCTTACCAGTGCCATCAGGCAGGGAGCAGATGAAGGTGGGCAGCATCTGCATGGTGGCGTGTGCACGCATCTGGCGGCTGAGCCCCTTGCGCATGTCCTGAATCATGTGGCCCTTCAGTACCTGTAGCGTCTCCAGCGGGATGGTGAGTGCCCGCAGGGCTTTCTGTACCTGGGGACAGTGAGCCTGTACCTTAGGGCAGGTCTGAAGGGGAGGGGATGGCTCTTGCTGGGTGCGAGGCAGGGATGGGCCTTACCGGTGAGCCGACAGAATTGCTGCGTTCGCCCAGCTGTTGGTTCAGTGAGGGCCTGTGTGGAGGGAGCGGGTGTCACCCGCGGAGCCCCAGCCCGCAGGAGGAC